ATTAATGTAAGTGAACTGTTCAAGTGTAAAGATGTGATTGGATTGAGCTATCGAACTGGCGATGGATGAGTATATTGTGATAGTTTGGTGTCATGATGCATCATGACAAACGTGATGCGGAGGTGCAGATCATCTGGAACGCTAGCGCTAAAACAAACAGCTGCGCTAGCCTGTTATGTGCTGGCATAGGAGACGGATAGTTTAGATCACAGCTCACGATCATCAGTGGATTGAACAGAGGTTGCAGTAATAAAAAAATCCATTTCGAATATGGCGATCATGCCGGGTATCGTATCGAAAAATGCACAACCTAATGCCGTCCTATCATCTACCATGAGCCATCAAGCTCTTCCTTCTAGCCAGCCGGCAGCCTTCTCTAGAAGCCCATTGAAGCTCTTGACATTAGCCAGAAGCCCACCGCCACGCGAGCCGACATCCTTGCCTACCGTCTCCAGTAGCATGCTTAGCGGGATTTCCGGACCCTCGTTTTCTCTTCCTTCCTTGCGCGCTTGCTCGCGGCCGTTCTTGATCGCAGCCTCAATATCAAACATATTGTCACTAAGCGTATTCCTAGCCTCTACTTTGGCCTTCTCAGCTTCGAAGTGAGCCTGTATATAGTCCTGCTCAATTGCGATCTCCTCTCGGTTGTTCTGGAGACCAAGTATTTCCTTGCGTAGTTCAGCGTTATCGCGCTTGAACAGTTTTGTCTTCTTAAAATTGGTACTTAAGACGTCATTAGCGTCCTGCAAGTCCAAGAGCTTCTCATTCAAACTCTCCTTGAAGGACAGGGAAAGGTTGATCTCGCTTCGCAGTTCCTTGCGTCGGTCAGAGTTTTGTGAGGTCTGCAGGGTCTCAGCCATACGATTGAGGCGATGATCGATAGTTTCTTCCAAGATTGTGCGCGTAGTATCTGCAACTGTGATACCTCGTACTGCGGACCCCTTGATGCGCATGACGGAGATGGCATGTTTCGGCCCTAAGAACTTTTGACGTTTGCGAGGTGGTAGCTTCTCTGCCAAAGGTTTATTTCGCGGCACTTGTTTCGGAGAGCGCCGTTTCGTCGCAGGCCTTGGTATAATCTCCGTCTCATCTGCAGAGGGCGCCTCGTCCTCGGGTAACTCTTCTTGTACAGTAGACGTTTCTTCTACTTCTTCTTCCCGGTTTAAAGGTTCTGCAGGTTTTGCAGGTTTTTTCAGTGTTTTCTCGCGCTCAGGGGAAGGCTCGTCTACGGCCTCGCCACCTACTGCTGCCATTGGCTCGCTCCGCTTATTCGGTTTTGGCTTGAGTATGACTGGAGTTGCTTGAGGTTCGCTTTCCGTTGCTGGGGCTTCTTTTCTAAGTCGACCGCGTTGGTTCGGCTGTGGCGTAGGCTCGTTCTCTTCTACTTGAGGCTCAACTTCTAGTGGTGTGGCTTCTTTACGAGGTCTACCGCGTTTGGTTGGTTGTGGTGTGGGCTCATTATCTTCTTGTTGAAGTTCGACTTCTGGCGGTGTGGCTTCTTTACGAGGTCTACCGCGCTTCGCTCGTCGTGATACAGTGACAGGCTCCTTTTCGCCTACTTGAGTTTTCGCTTCCTGGCTTACGATTGGTGTTTGTTGCTTCGGCGATGAGAGCTCGTCCATGTCCATCTGCGTGTCTTCTTGTACCATGGGCTGTGGTCGTGGTTCACTTCCGACCACCCGTGGTGTAGCCTCATTGGGTTGTGGTGACAGTTCATCTTCGCTCTCGTCATCCGCTGGGGCAACAATCGGGGTAGCCAAATTGGTTCCGGATCGGGAAACGGAGGATACTCTCGAGCGGCCATTCACAGATAGACTCGGTGTTGCAGGAACGGGATCTGTCGACTTTGATCGTCTTGTTGTCGATTTTCGTGATGCCACTGACAGTGCTTCTACTCGGTCGGGAATGGGCGTCTGCTGCGGCGTATTACCAGGAAATATGCGCTTTTGTGCTAATGCTTGTGGAGGTGTGCGCTTTCATCACCGTCGACTTGGCGAAGACTCGTCTCGCGTACAGTACTGGCGCCTTTCGTTCAAGATAGACAGCTCATCTGGCACCTTGTCTCGCTCTTCGC